TCTCCCCTGCCTTATTCACTATACCTCTTCCAACTTCTGCAACAAATGAAATGAGTCCTACAGACAACAGTCTTCACTACACAACTCTGATTCATTCCCCACAGCAGGTCGGTCCCATGCACTGAGTAAGGCAGGGGTCCTGTGGAAAAAAATGTGGTCATGTAATTAAAGACTGTGATAATGCATGTATACAAAGGGGCTCAGTTAAGGTCACAGGGGCATCTTTACATCTGGCATTTCCTAACTTTTGAATGCTTGACTTTTTGCAACCTTTCTTTTTTTTTTAAATAATTTTTTAAGTTTGTAAACATTTCCATCATGTGGAATCACACTGACTCCCTAAATGGGTTATTAGGAGGGTTGGGCTCTTTAGATCCACCACACAGTTGTCTACCACTTTAGCTAACAGAATAACTGGTAGCAGTAGAACACGGATTTCTTTGTGGACCACCCACTAGAAGGGTTTCTCAGCTATTTGCGAGACAGTAAAAGAATGTTGAGACTCAGGAATAATGGGTTCCAGTCCAGGTTTTACAGGAGAATGTGCTCCAGTAGTTAGACCTTTCTAATCCGGTTCCTCCCAGCCTCTCCCTGACCCTTTTGTTCATATTCTTCTCCCCATACCTCAGCTTCTACACCCATTTCCCATTTTTTGTTCTCTTCCACAGTGGCATCCCCACTCAGTCCCCCTCCCTGCTCCTACTTCTGTCCTGTTTCTCCCTATCCCCACCCCAGCTTCTGACCTCATCCCCCCACCTGTTCCTATGTTCTATGGGTCCTGCTCCTTCCTCCCCAATCCCATCTTGTTCCTGTTTCCACCCTGTAATTTTTTCCACATCACCCCCATATTGGTGCACATAAAATTAATGTGGTAAGGGTGGGGCCAAGAGCTTCGGAGTGTGGGAGGGGGCTCAGGGCTGGGGCAGAGGGTTGGGGTGCAGAGGGGCTGAGGGCTCTGGCTGGAGCTGGGGGCTCTGGGGCGGGGCCAGGGATGGGGATGAGGGGTTTGGGGTGCAGGCTGCCCTGGGGCTATGGCAGGGAGAGAGGACTCCCCCAGCTCTCTGCCCCCACAGCAGCACCTGGGCTGGCAGGGAGAGGTGCTTCTCCCCCAGCTCCGAAAGGTCAGGGCTGGCTCTTCCAGGGCTGCGGCAGGTCCGGGGCGAGAGGCATCTCTCCCCGCCACAGCCTGAGCACCTGTGCGGCACTTAATAGGCTGCTATGCCTCTGCACAGCTTAGAGGAATTTAGCTCCCATCACATCTTCTGTCTGTCCCCTCTTCCGCAGTTCTTTCAGATATAGCAAAAGACAGGCACATCCCTGACAGCAGGAAGAACACTGCCGAATTCCATGTTCCTGATCCAAACCATAGGAGTGCTAAATGTTTCCCAATTAAACTGTTGGAAGAATTATTTTTCTTAAAAGAGCAAATACAATGTATTTTTCCCTAACTCTATTCTTGGAAATGGATGAACCATTTTACCTGAAACTTTCCTAAAACAAATTAGCCAGAGGCAGACATCCAAACATGGATAATTTCAGCCCAAACAGTTTGAATTTGGCAAAGCTCTGAGCAATTGAAAACAGGGTCCTATACTGGGAAGTGCTGTGTAATCTTTGTTATCGATGTTGCAAACTATGCCACCTATAATTAATAATGAGCTTCAACATCCTGTTCTGTGATAAAATCAGCAAGAGGAGGAATTTTCGAAATCCCTGTGAGGATCTCTCAGTTCACCCCACATCATTCTGTAGGAGTCCGCTTCCTCCCACTTCGAAAAGGCCACAGGGGCCCACTGCTGATCCTAGGGGATCCACAGGATGCCAGACATTCACTTGGGACCCTGTTCCTCAGGCCTCCCCTCATCCTGCATTCTTGGTAGTTTTGCTCCACTGGGATTGCACCAGGGAGACTCTTGACTATAACTGGTCTCAAATTCCTTAGGGAGGTGAGGGTTAGAAGATGTGTAGAAAAGATAATAGTGCATGTGATTCTGACAGACAAGGTGCCAGCTCATATCAAGGCCCCTGGGTCTCAAGTGAACACTGACATACATAGGTGGAACCAGTCTGGCTCACATATGTTAGTATTGTTAAAATTGGTATCAAAGTTCTACAAATGCATTTAGACTTTATAGAATGCTTGTAAGTTGATACATACATTAATCTCACTTAAAATATTTGTATCCCATGTTACTAGGTAATATGTAAGTGTTTGCTCTGTAACAGTAAATCACCAGTCAGGAGAGAAGCATTACAAGCGTGAAATACTAATTTGACATAGGTTTTTCTCCCCTGCCCAACAAAAGGCAGCCCATCAACACCAGACAACCCACTGTGGAACAGAGGACAAAAGACTGTTCATTGTTTCTCCCCCACTCCCACCCCCTCATGAAGAAGAGAGGTGCAACTGAATTCCTCCCAACAGCTGAACTTGCATCTTGAAGCAGAAGGGAGGAAGGAATAAAAGGCCCTAACAAAGATTAACTATCTTTGTGTTTCTTGGACTCTGGGGGGCAAGGATTACTAAGCATAAGCAAGAGATCCTCAGTACTTGGCCTGAGTAAACCCTAAAGGACATATAGTGCTAGCTTATTATAGAAGCTTCTATTACCTTTTGAAACTTAAAACTGGAACTCATTTCTGTGTATGTGTTTACTTGCTTTAACCTTGTAAATAACTTATTCCCTTTTCCCCAATTAATAAATCTTTAGACAGTTTATTATAGTATTAGCTGCAAGCATTATATCTGGTGGGAGATCTAAGGTGCAACTGACCTGAGGTAAGTGACTGGCCCTTTGGGAGTGGGAGTTATTGTCAGATGTTCAGCTGCCCGTGTGTTCTCCGTGTGCTGCCCCAGCTCTGCGCAGACAGCTGGCACAACAGACCTTGAGCGAACCGCCCAATGACCATAAAATCTGTTAAGGTGCGAAGGTGATTGTTCAGGTTTATTATCAGCAAAGCATGGTCCTAGCTCCCTGGATCAATGTTTACAATTACACTAGCACATGTATGCCCGTAACAAAGGATGCAGCTCAGTCAGTGGCAGGACTTTCCACTACCCCTTCAGCTGGACAAAGACACTCCCTCTGAGATACATCTTTATACACCAATACAAACAAGTTACGTATCACCCTTGACGTATCAGGGTACTACCCTCGGACATATTAGGGTGCCACCCATTGTCTTATATCTGTAGGTAAGATCAAAACATCTCTATCCATCATACTGACATCCTGACCTTATCCTTAAGAGGGCAGCATGTTCCTGTTATCTTTGGGGAATGTGTTTATCGGGGTGTTCTGATACCCCCCTCCTGGAATGTGCTTGCGTAAGTGTTTTGTGCCTAGCATCTCATAGGAATGTGTGTTTTTGCAATATCAATCTTATGCTTGCCAAATTCTGCGAGCAGGGCCTGCCTCTTGCTCACAACTTAACTCAGCTTGATATCAACAAGGTTTTGACTACTTTAGCCCAGGCCTCAGGCCTCTGATACATGGGCTTATGTTTCAGGCCCTCTTCCTACTACAGGAGTAACCTGAATATTGCTGTGATCTTCGGTGTAAGAGACCATCTAACACAAAGGCAAGTTTAGTTGGGTAGCAAGACAGATCGGAATCAGGGCCGGATTTCCAATTAGGCACTATAGGGGCACCTAAAAGTTAAAACTGGGTTAAAAGTAATTTTTTATGGGAAACACAAACGTCAGCTATAGGCAGGGGGGGGACACTGAAGATGCTGTGCCTAGGGACGTGCAAGATGTAAATCCAGCCCTGATCAGACTTCTCCATGTTAAAGCTGTTAATAGTGCTTGAGGAGCTCACACTTGATAACAGATTGGTGAAATCTAAGTACAGAACGCTCAACCAATTTTAGGTTTGTGCCCTGCTTCTTAACAGTCTTAACAGGTTGGTACTCATGCTCCTGAGCCACTACAGGATAGCATGGGACCAGAGTATCCCTCTAGTTTTATCCTGAGCCCAGCATTGCTCCCGTATTAACCAAGCCATAATTATTTCAAAACTCAAAAACTGCACTCCATGAGGCAGTACCGAGAGGGAGAGTGAGCGAGTGTGTGTGTGTAGTTTGAAAGTATTTTTCTATCTAGCATAATTTTAAGAGATTCCATATAAAAAGCTATATTAAAAACATACGTTACAAAATGAAGGAGCACTAAAGTTAAGAAATGCTAGTATTAGTGTTTCCACATAATGCAGGATATGCATTCCACAACTTCCACATAAAGGATATGCATTCTGGTCCAGATTCAGTCAGAACTGTAGAAACTAAATTATACAAACTAAACAATTGTTTCAGTACCTATTTATAGAAAAAAAGGACAATTGCCTGAAAGTATGCAGAAGGTAATGTTAGGCAATTAAATTATGCAACTCAGTGCATTAATAGTGCTAGGTATTTCCATTTTAGATCACTAATTTCCAAAGACTTGGAAGAGCCACATATTCACTAACCCAAACTATTCAATAGCAGTTCAAATCAAAAAGATTTTAATCCTACTTAAAAAAAACAAACCACGCAGAACATTTTTTTCCCTCTCCATTTTTTTAACCCACAGAAATTAAATCAATGCGAATCAAAAAATGACTTTAGTAAAGTACCCCATTATTGCCTTAGGAAAGTTGAATACATTTTTAAAAATCATGTTTTTAGAGTTTTCAAACTTGTATTTCTTTTTGGATGGAAATGTGCAAACATTCTGAAAAAATGCACAGGGTTGCTTACGCAGATTTTACACTTCTGTAACTTTTTCAAATGAAAATTGTCAGGATTCATTTTTGGGAAATAATGTCAAACTTAACATGAAAACCAAAAATTAGCTATTGTTTCTACCTGGTCAGAGTCTAAATTCCTTTGTAGCCCAAGTCACAATAACCAATGCAAGTGATTTTTTTAAAAAGCTTATTTGAGTTCAGTTATTTTAACTTTTAATTTTCTACCAAAGAATATTTTAAGAAATAAAAATATCACAACCAAATTAAGACTAGACTTTTTAAATAAATTTATTACATAAATATTGTTTGCAACTGACACATTTATCTGTTCCCTTTTTCACATCCTTGGCACACAATATAGCTCTTACCATAATATTTACAAAACAGGTGTAAACATCCATGGAAAATAAAATGAAAATAATGAAGTGCTAAGTATGTAAAAGGTCAATAAATAGCAAAATATTGAAGGACAAGTTGTTCATTTGTCTGATATTAAAGATTCAGCTATTACATGGGTAAAAAAATAGTCCCCTTAAAAAAAAAAAAAAAGGTTAAAACTTGATTCTTGATTCCCATTTTCCACTACTGTTGCATTTTAACAAATAAACTATACTATTCTTTTACTAAGTCCAAATCTTAAATGATAGTTACTCAACGCAATTTCATTACTTTAGGCATCAGCTGTTCTGGTTCACATAAGGAAGGTTATACATCTATGCTTACAAGTTAGTGATTTTGAAATATGCAGTTTTGAAATCCAGACATTTCCCATTTTTTCAGTTCCCAATCACCCTTCCAATATGGCACTGAAGACCCCTAATGGGCATTAGTATAGAGTCTGTTCTTCATGAAGACGACATTAGACAGATGTTGCCTGATACCTGGATAATGTTGAATGTGATTAAACCAGCGAGACACATTAAGGTATTTCTCCTTCTCTTGCACTGTAAGCTCAGCCTAAACAAGGGAAGAAATAAAAGATGTTAAATAATCATATCCCTATTAACGCAGAAACATAAATTACAGGAATAAAAAATAGTTTTATAAAGTCAGTTCTTAAATAGGATGAAAAATTATGACAGTCTAGCAGTGCTGTACATTGATTTTATATTTTTTGGTTGTGGACTTTTAAAACCATATGTTAACTTTATGGAAATCTGAAGATTTTCAACTATAATTTGCATAATTCAACATAAAACAGAACTGGAGGCTCAACTGTACGGGATTAAAGGAAAGATTACAAAGCATACAGGCCTGGTTCTTGTTCCAGTACCTCTAGGAAAGTGAAGAAAGGCTGGAATTTAGCATGTTTAGCAAGGGATTACTGTATAGTATCCTTAGGAAAAGTTCTGAAAGACATACAAGTAATCCTCACTGTTGAGCTCTTGTCTAGGAAGCTGTCTGTTGAACTGCAGTCTTGCATCTCAGGCCAATGCCTAGTTTACATTTTTAAAAAGCAGTACTGAAGAGATGGATGGACTGTTTCCAAGCATATTCAAGACAGAAAGCAATTAAAGGTATGCTTCTAATTTTTTTTTTTTTTTTTACCGTTTGATCTAAGAGTGTCAGCAATAGTTGCTGGGTGTATTTCAACAATGCTGGAAAAATGCATAAATGCAACAATAATTTATTTTCTTTAGATGTACTCAGATTACTAGTATCTAGGACAAGTGGCATCATTCAAATCACGACAACCAAAAGCTATAGATTGAGGATCTGTCCACATTAGAAATATAACCATGAATTAGCAGGGTTGTCTGCCATGGTTAGAGGTGCGAATATGTAGCAATCTGCACCCTGGCACTAGCACCTAGTGCAGCTGTGATGAAGCAGCACAGAACAATGTCCTGGGGAGAGAGTTAGCAAGTAAGAGGGAGCTCAGAATCCACGTGACGGGTAGAGCCCAGCGCAGACACAAAGTTATATCTGCGGGTAGAAACTGGTATCCACTGAATCGCAGGGCTCTCTCGGGAACCGCAGTGGTGAAAGCAGCAGAACATGGGTCTGCCACTCCCAGGACTCAGTGCCCCATGCCGGCAGCTCCTTTTGCGAGGCTGTACAACCCCCAGCCCCATCCTCTGACGCAGCTGTACAGACTCCAGACAGGAGACGCAGTTATGCAGACATCTGTGGGGAAGGGATGGGGCAGTACAGCCACACGGGAGGAACTGCCAGCGCGGGCCCCTGGGAGTGGCAGCTGCACGTTCTGCTCCTTTCACCGCTGCGTTTCCCAGAAGAGCCCTTCAGTTCAGTGATTTCCGATTTGCATCCATGGATATAAATTTGTATCCATGCACGGCTCTACTGACAGGGAACTGGGAAAAAGCTATTGGAGGAGGAGAAGAATGGAGATATGAGCTAGCGGATGAACTGAAGCCCGGGTAAGAGGGGAGGTGATAAAATAAAAGAAGAACAGGAGAATAAAAGTAAGGGATTGGGAAGTGAGAAGGAAAACTGGGAAGTTTTCATGTCAGAACCAGGGGAAAAAAGGATCTGGGTATGTGAGCAGGCAGACACTGTTAGAGAAAGGGAAGTAGAAGGAAATACTCTCTCTGGTACATCTGCAGATTTTATCAAGGGGAAAAAAAACTGAAAGGAAATATAATTGGTGGGGGAAAAAAAGATCAAAAAGCTGTGTGTTTGATTAAAACAGATCCTGAAAACAGTAAACAAGAAGCCCACCCACAAAAGATCTAAAGCAGGGGTCTCAAACTCCTAGCCCACGGGACATCTGCGGCTGGCGAGCCTCCCCAGTGTGGCCCACAGGACTCCAGCAGTTTTCGGGCTGGGTCTCTCCCTTGGCCCCTCCTGGGCGCTCCTCCCCCAGGGGCCCCGGCAGCGCAACAGAGCAGAGCGGCGTCTGCCTGCTCACTCCAGTGGCTGCCAGCCCCTCCCTGCAGTCCCGGGGCAGGGCTGTGCCTCCGTACTCTGCCCCCACCGCCAATGTGAGGCTGCGGGGGTGGTGCCTGGGGGCAACAGCGCACGGAGGCCCCCCGGCCCACCCCGCCATGGAACCGCAGGTAAGCACCGCACCCCCCTACCCCAGCCCAGAGCCTGCACCCCCTCCCCCTTCCCACACACCCCTCCCGCAGCCCGCACCCCAGACCTCCTCCCCCACCCAAACTCCCTCCCAGAGCCCAACCTCTCACCCCTACTCCCTCCCAGAGCCTGCACCCCAATCCCCTACCCCAGATGACCTCCTCCACCCAAACTCCCTCCCAGAGCCTTAGGCAGAGGGGGCAGAGTTTTGGGGGGGCGGGTTCTGGGCAGCATGAGTGACATTATTGGCCCGCTGGGAGGATTTGAGGTCTGGCATTGGCCCTAAGGTAAACTGAGTATGAAACCTCTGATCTAAAGTAGATGAACAGAGCGAATGACTGTTTGAAAATCTATTGAAGGAATTCAGTTCAAAGGTGCCTAATGGACAAGTGAGGGTCACTAGGGCCTGCTTGTGGATAAACTCAGTGAAAACAGGTACAGCCACAGGAACATCAAATCTAAGGAACACTTCAAGTCAAAGAGAAGCAAAGAACAGGACTAGAGTGGAGCTAGACTTACCACCAAGGAAAGGAGAAATTGATTCTTCTCTGAAGTGACACAGTATATTGCTCTCTTTTTCTTAACAACAATGCATTTGGTACTAACTGCACAGTGTGTACAAGCTCACAAAGGTTAATGAGTTGGTAACCTATAGTTTATTATTATAAGTAGCAAGTCATTAGTAAAGTTCTATATTATTTTTGCTCCTGGTAAAATTTTTGGGGTTTCCCTTATAAAGTTCTAAAGATTTAAGATTATCCCTTTTGTCTTGGTTTGCGCTTCTGCCATGCCTTACAATTAGGATAACCTTGCCTAGCCAGGTCACCACATATGTTCTACATTTTTAAAGAGTTTTCAAGTTTTAAAGACCTTAGGGTTATTGGAAGAATCTAGTTGTGAACGTAAATTAACTGGCCATGGGAAGATGAAACTAGAAGGAGCTTCCAGGGGGTAAACAGCCATTATGCTGACTTTATATCCTCCCTCCTTGATGCTCGTGTAGTAGTTGTGAACATGATTTATTTACGATCAGCCCATCAGTAACCATCTTAATAAACAGCTTTAAAAGCTGCCTCAATGTATGTCTGAAGACTGGAGTAGACACACAGCCAATCCAGAAGAAGGACTAGAGAGGTGAGCTTTACTCCACTTTTGCATTCGTTTACATTGCAAAATTCTTGGTTGCAGTCAAGAAATTGGCCCAAGATTCTCAATGAAATCTAATTACCACTACATTTTCTTTGAAGTCAAAGGCATGGGAGACGCACTGAAATTCTGACCGTGAAGAACCAGCAGTACAGTCTATTCTCCTTTCAGCAGGATTAGGATTTCACTACAATCATCCCACTACTATGTTGGGTTTTTTTATTTTTAATTACCCTTCCTAGATCCTCCATTGTCAGCCTAATTTCCAACATGCTTTACAAATGCTCTGTTCCCTCTCCACATCCTTCCATATTAACTGACCTAGTAGTGAGGGACTCAAAAATTGATTAAGCCCAGAAAGGTAGACAGCAATCTACTATGAAGGGACCAAAGATGATCTTCAGTTGAACCTGCCATATCAGACTACATATGCAGGTGCAGATAGAAGCTTGTTTTCTTCTTCCAATCTATGGATAAAAATTAGGTGTGCAAGAATGACATCTATTCATTCTAAAAATCTTTAAAAATATAGTGACCAGAATAATCAGTTCAATTCACTAACTACACATAATGTTTCCTTTGTTTATGGAGTTTTAAAACCACAACATATTGTGATAAACTTTTTTCAACCTGTGTCCAGCAAATTTACGGTAGTTTATTTAACACAAAAATTAAAGTGTTTTTGTGCATTTTCAATTGAATTTCCATCCAAAAAGCACTTTATACAAATCAAAAGTAACAAATTAGTCATCTCGTAAATAAAGAATGTTTCATTCACCATTTTCTAACATAATAGAAAATTGAAAATTAAGTATGTGAATAAATGTAGATTAAGCTATATAACTGCTAACAAATGTTTATTGAGCTAGTGTATCCTCCTGGTTAGCAAACAAAAAGACAATTTTAGTATGAAGGCCATACTTTAATTGCAAAACAACATGTTTTAATGGTTACCAACCAATAAAAAAAAAATAAAAAAAAATAATATCAACCTCTCTCAAGAAGATAACTAAAAAATATAATTAAAGTTGATGATTTAAATCAATCCATGCTGGTCAGAGCAAATGTGAGTATTGTGCTAGAAGAATGTTCCAGCAGGATATTACTGTATCCAAAGATATGCCCTCACAGCATCTGAAGACTGATTGTTCCAAGTTTAGTTTGGAGCTGGAAGCCACACAGAAGATATGTCAGCTCCAACTTGCTGGATAATAGGAGCAAAGAGGGGAAAAGATGGAATAATTCTAAATATTTTCAGTAGCTAGAGTCTCAAGCTGAGCTTCATCTTGTAATAGTCAACTTTTGGGACTGCAAGAGTTGGCTGTAACAGGCATAGAACTGGAGTAAGAGATGCAAAGATAAGAGGGCATGGCGATAATAAGATTGAATGGGGTGGGATAGGAGTGGGGAAGAAGAGCAGAAAAAAAGAGAACATTTCCTCTTCATAATATTGATTTAGCAGAGCTGCCTTTGCTGAATTATTGTAACTAAACTGAGCCAAGCAAATCTAAGAGCCCAATAGTCCTTTCAGCAGCTTGAAAACAAGTAGATTTTGCAGCATCACTTACAGCAGACACCACACATCCCTAGATAAAGGAACTCACGTGCCAGAATGCAAACATATTACTGACACTATATTTCTGCAAAAAATTCAGAAATTCAAACTATAATCTCCTTTTCTGGTCCATTCCACTTTTGTTGAAACTTAATAAGCAAGCTTGCCTCCTACTGGTGCAGAAAGGTGAAGTCATATTTCTACCCTCTGCATACTG